TCTCGTTCAACTAGGAATTTTTCGTCGTCGAGTTTTCAACAATGCGATCGCTACTCTGCCGCTTCGATTTTTTCGCGGGAATCCCGACGACGCAGTGTCTGGATTGGGGACGAAGAGAGTGAAAAAGAAAAACGGCAGGCAATCTGGCGCGTCTACCGGCCCTTAAGGGGGCCTTCACAATGGGATATCAGTACAGATCTGTAATATCGTGTACCAGTGACGTAACTCGATATTACGGAATTAAACGTTAAATTGCTATTTCCGTGGCCATTCTTCGTTGCGGATTCGTAGGATTTGTCAGCCATCTTTTTTTTAAATCTTCTTTATTACTCTTTAATAGCTTCTTTATACGTCCACTCAGGAGTTCAATTAATCGTAATCTTGTAACTGAATGTATATCTTGCATATATGCATATATGTAAATCGAGCAAGAGATGCACGAGAAGTGAATTGGCGCGACGCGGCTAAGAATAGAAAGGGAAAAAAAAAGATTTGTCTATTCTCACGGTACATACAGTCTACACGTTTTTCAAATCGTCAGTCGCGTCTCTAATGTTTTATTAGAGAGAAACCCTTATCTCGGCGTTAGACGCCCTCATTTTTTAAAATCTCACGTCTTTGCCTTATCGGTAACAGATATCAAATTTGTCGTGCCGTACGGCCAGTATAGTTAATTTTGTATTTTTTCCTCCGTAACGACTATGGAATGCCAGGGACGCTCGTATCAATCGTGGACCACTGATTCCTCGCAATTGACGATGAATGACGCCCGAGAAATGTCATTGCGTAAGGCGACGTTCACACTGAGCTGATATTACGGAGTGGCGCTGCGAATCGACGAGCGTGTCGGTCAGGGCCAGCAAGTAGTTTGTAAAAGTAATCGTACCGACGGGAAAGTCTCGTTAGATCGTAAGACAGACTTTTCATGTACTTCGCGTGTGGTTTGTGCTTGCTTTATATACCTACGTATACACGTTAACCACTTTGTCTGCCTTATGCCGCGTGCACAGTTCTGCCCACGCAGAAATTATCGTTAAACGGCTCGAGCTTGGCGTACAACTGAGATAGCCGTAGTAAATAGTCAGAGCCCGATATCCTACTTTGTCACAGGTGTATACTATACCCAGAGAAAGGTCAATGACCTACGAGCGTTCGCACAGGGCGTTTCACCTGAAACGTAACAGTTAAGCTTGACAGCTGTCATTTACGTGGCATCATTGCGGCTCAATCGCTTGGCCATGCTCGACAGTCAGGTTCTTGCGTGTTCACTGATTGGCAATTTGTTCGAATTTCGTGAAACGATTTGACCCTGATAAGATTTTTCGTAAGGGTCAAGAAAGACTAATCGTGTATTTTTTTTTTTGACAATTTCAAAATATTCCTGTGACGTCTGTCAATTTCTTATGGCACGTATGGTGGAAGGCTCTGTACATGGTTTTTTGTATCACGCAACGTATACCCCATACTCAATACGATCAACCCCTTTGAGTTCTAGAAAGGGGGTTGCGTAGTAGTTTTATATGGTCACCCTATCTAACCTCTAGTATCGCGTAGCCGTTGCGTAGTACACGATGCAGACGTAAGTCGTGCGGGCCTTTCATCGAGGAACCTTTTGTAAATTCGAACTATGTACTACTCGAGATCCTTTTGTAAGCAATATTGTACGGAGTAGGCGCGTGGGACAATTCGAAAGTTTTTTACCGGAGCTTTTCTTACTGTTAACAATGCACGTCTCGAGTCTATATTGTAGGCAATGTATGCGCAGTATCAGTCGTTATCGTATCTGAAGGGACTGAGTGCATTTATATATGTTAACCGATACAGTGTAGGAGATACTATAAGCGCTTTGAAATCACTGGTGCCAATGCGTTCATGAATCCATAGAATTTTCCTACATTTCCTACAGGAGCATTTCTCATAATCGGTGAAAACGTTTTGTATACTTAAAATTGCTATCTTCAGTGTGGCTGTATTTCTACGTCTTTGTCCTTTGGGTGAATACTGAGGACAGATACAAGTGAGATAGAACCGTGTCCGACTATACAATTCGTTCGTATCATTTTGCATGTTAAAGTAAGAATCGCCTTTGTGAAAACCTTCGTGCTCGATGCACAAGGAACGTGTACTGTCTTTTCTAGTATGCGGACCAGTACCGTTTGGAGTAACAGTAAATTAAAACCTGCGTTTCGTAATACTCGTGATGCATCATCGGCTTGAGACAGTTTGAAACGATCGTCTTTTTATGGCTGTTTCTGAGTATTTTTTCTTTGGAACTAAGACTAGGTTTATCTTGAATTTTCTTACCGAGAGGTTCTTTCGCGTTGGGTACTCCAGTGTACTGCCTATGGAAACTGGGGAGCTGGGGTTTCGCAAATGGTTTCTTAGCAATTGGTACTGCCGAGGAAGGTTGACCAAGAATAACCTTTCTTCCCCTATGCTCTACCTTTCATTAATAAGGAAAAACGAAACCCTCGTGGTCTATTCTATGGAACTGTAAAAGCTTCCAGAAATATTGATTATTTCTCGACACGGCACCCTCTAGTCTAGACGGAGTCTATACTCGGTTATACTAAAGTGTCATGCGATCTTTTTCTACACGCCACATAATTCTTACTGAAATTGAAAACATGGCTGAGCATTTTTTTTTTAATTATCAAGACATTACGTCTTGATGTTCTTGTACTTGTTTGTCGAATTTTTTCGATTTTTTACTGTGTGCATTACTGCGAGTCGTTTCTTTGTACCGGTGAATCTTTTTATTGAATTTAATTAGGTTTTTTTGATTACGCGAGCTCACGCGCATTGATCAATGACTTGAACCAATTTTGGACCACTCGAGTAATCTTGCATTTTATATTTCAGGACACAGGGCTGAAACATGCCGGAAGAACAGAAATCGGGTGGCGGGGCGGCGGAAGTTATGGCGGCGGAAAATGGTACCGGAACCAGCTCACCCAGCAAGAGTCCAGTTAGCAAAGGGAAAACTGCAGTGGCCAAGGTTACTCTACTCGATGGCACCGTCAAAGACTTTAGCATCGATGTGAGTCGACCTTAATTGCTGCTTTACTTTCGAACAGGAAAGCTGTACTCGAGAGCTCCATTATATACCGGAGCGCTCCTCGTGGAAGAAAGTTAATTATATACGTTAGCCTGTTAAGTTATTATCTTATAAAATAGACATGGATGCGTCTACGAACGTTCCTCAATTATAATTTTAAGACCTTGCGCTTCGTCCTGATCCCAGGAGTAGCTTTCTAAATTTACACTCGGTTCGAGCTTTTAATATGAAGTTATCAATCATCCTTTGAGATGCTTCGTTGATCTATTTATAGAGAAAAGAAAAACATCTGATGTGTAGTCTAAGTCGATAGTCAAAGTTTCTAGTAAAATGATTCATGTATGGTAATTACTTGATAAATTATTTTATTATTGTCTCATAAGTTTTTACTAATGTTACTGTTACGCTTTGGGTCGTGATTCATAACTTATTAATAAATTGATGTCATTTGACCATAAACAGTTTCAAGGAATGAAAAACCGCAATTTGATAACGAACTTGTTGTTGGACATGATGTCATGCATTACGAATCTTCTTGCTATTTTAAATGGACTTTGCAATATTAGTTATTGACACTACTGTCGAGTCATAGTAGGAATTAGGAATCATTTATTTCTCTAATATTATCGCATATCTCAAGATTGATTATATCTTTAATGTAACGTAAATGTTTCTCTTGTTTAATTTTGACAGAGGAAAGCAAAGGGTCAGGACCTCTTGGACAAAATATGCCAGAGTATGAATCTTCTGGAGAAGGATTACTTTGGTCTCGTCTACGAGGACAGGCATGATCCACGTAATTGGTTAGATCTTGATAAGAGGATTACAAAATTTTTAAAAAGTGGGTATAATTTTACTTACGTCAAATATTGTATAGGACGGTTAAATAATATGCTACTTGATTCTTTGTCCAGATGAACCGTGGAAGTTCAGTTTCGAGGTCAAGTTCTATCCTCCGGATCCGGCACAGCTCCAGGAAGATATTACACGTTATCAGTTTTGTCTACAAATCAGGAACGACATCATCACAGGCCGTCTGCCATGTTCCTTCGTAACACATGCTCTGCTCGGTTCGTATCTCGTTCAGTCGGAGGTTGGCGATTACGATCCAGAGGAACATGGCAGGACGTACCTGAAGGACTTCAAGTTTGCACCAAAACAATCACCCGAACTGATAGAGAAGGTCATGGACCTTCACAAAACACACAAGTCCGTAGCTCTGATTATAGAATTTGTACTTTTGTTATAAATGGGAAGGAGATTACGTGAACTATTGTAAATTTTTCAGAGGACAAACACCAGCCGAGGCTGAACTGCATTATTTGGAGAATGCAAAGAAATTAGCCATGTACGGGGTAGATCTTCATCCTGCTAAGGATTCCGAAGGCGTGGACATTATGCTAGGTGTATGCTCTTCCGGTCTTCTGGTCTACAGAGACAGACTGAGAATCAATCGATTCGCCTGGCCTAAAATATTGAAGATTTCCTACAAGAGACACAACTTTTATATCAAGATCAGACCTGGGGAATTCGAACAGTTTGAATCCACCATTGGTTTCAAGCTGGCGAATCACAGAGCAGCTAAGAAATTGTGGAAAGTCTGCGTGGAGCATCACACTTTCTTCAGGTATAAAACCTCTAAATTCCATTTGTGTTATCGAAGCCTCACAGCAATCTCTGATCTGAAATTTCCCATTATTCAGGCTCATGAGTCCAGACCCTGTTAAGAAAGTCGGATTGATACCTCATCTGGGATCTCGGTTCCGATATTCCGGAAGGACTCACTACGAGACGAAAAAGACTCCCATAGACAGGCAGCCACCGCAATTCGAAAGATCTCTGAGTGGTCGCAGACTCACGTCACGAAGCATGGATGGTAAGATTTAGCATTAGCGAATCCATTGTAATTCTTCTTTACTGAATTTTCTTCTGCGGGGTTCATTGTCTTCTGAGGATCTGCGAGAGGTACGACGAACACTGGGATAAGAATTAGAATTTTGACTGACTCTTCACTATGCCACAAGTGCCTTTCTATATTATCTAGCTACTGAGCTCTCATCATAGTACCATGTCGTTCAAAAAAGTCTGACCTATCTCCACAGCTTTGGGCGGTCCAAGGCCAGTCGAAACTTATGGTTCCGAGCCAAGCAAACGACACACCATGAGCTATGAACCCGACATGATACCAGACATGGACCACATAGACCAGCAGCGACCTAGTCCCATCAAGAAGCAAAAGGAGAAGGTGAGAGTACCTTAAATTATCTCACGAATATCATTAATTAGGATGCCAGTCGTGCATTTGATAGAGACAGATGTGCATTAATCCTTCATGCAATAATCCTCTTGTATCTTTTGAAAGAAATAATTTTCAAAAAATCTCCACCCTGCGCGCGTTCAGCACATTCTAATAACAATACACCCTAATGATTTCATTACCAGCATCTTCGGGCTGCCAGGTTTAATCTTTTGAAGAATATTCTTATTCGAATGTGCAATATAAATTCATGAGAATCGTTTTTTCTGGAAGGCGGCTGTGTGAAAATTAGACAATGTGTAACACCAATTGGCTCACCGTTAATGAGAATGCATCTTAAACAAATCATCAATCAATCACTGTGCACCATCAATTTCAATTATGATTCAATCTCGTCATTCGTAGCAGTGGCATGTCACTGTTGTGTACAACACGTGCTAGACGTGGCCGTATATTTTTAGAGACACGTTGTACTCTGTTACTACATTTTCATCTCCTACGATCGTTAACGAATTGCATATGCGAATGAGCCAGCACAGCATCCTTAAAAATGTATGAATCTTTTTCTTTTTACAAACCCTTGCAATTCCTCAACGATTATTTTTGAGTTAACCATACTCGTCATCCACTTGATTGTGCTCTATAGATATCGACGTCAGGCGTGACATGGAAATCATTGATATAAAATATCCTTCATTGTAACAAATCCTTTACCTTAATTTATCAAACTCGCTAAATGTCCCTTTTATTTTTATTTTTTTTTTTTTTTTTTTTTTTTTTTTTTTTTTTTTTTTTTTTTTTTTTTTTTTTTTTTTTTTCAATTCCCTTCGTCGCGAACTTGCGAGAGTCTTCTTGACTTTCTGTACGTATCACCTGCCCGGTCTCTAGAGCTTTTAGCCATAACGACTAACTGACACATAACTAACCGATAGCTGACACGAAAAACAAGCGCTGGAACAACCTCAGCCAGCAGTACCAGTAGCCTGGAAGGGGAGTATGACGCCGATCGTGGCAAAAAGGTACAAATAAGAATTCACCAAGTCCATCCCCGTCATGCATCGCCACATTACACTGTAGTACTCAAATATATATATACATATATATACATATAGTTATATCGTGTGACCATTTGGTGTTTTCAAAGTTTGTCTCGAAATGCATGCCCCGCTAAAACGACTCGCAGTTCCGGCAGTAATTTTTCCACCTGGTCCAGTAGCAGAGAACGTCTCGTGAGCTTCCTGGGGACGAGATCTAAGAAAATGTACTTAGTAAGAAAATGTACTTAGGAAGGTCGCTGAGTGAGTTCATGATACTGAAATCGAGGTTTGCCTTTCAGATATCTTGGAGCCCGGACTCCATTAAATGATATTATTATTATTATATATATTTATATGTGGAGCATGCGAAGAACACGTTAATGAAAAAAAAAAAGAATAGGCGAAATAATAAATTTATAATTCGCCTAGTATTACAGTATAGCTTTTGAAAGCTTCTCGAAGACTTAGCTTTTGTCGTTGCATGAGGCCACGTGTGACTGTGTTAATCTAATTGTAGAAACCGATCGGAGGAATCGCGGTACTACCGCCCGGTGGTCTCTCGAAGAAGAAGAAGGATAAACAGAACGAAAACGAAAAGGAGAACCACAATGATCTCAACAATTCCGATTTGATAAACGAGAGCGCACTGCTCGACAACAGCGACGATAAGTCGCCCAGTAAAAAGGAGTTAAAAAAGAAAGATAAGGAAACACCCGAGAAGCGGGACAAGGAAAAGAAGGAGAAGGTCAAGGTAAGTTTCCCTGGCAGTAACTGGGAAAGTTCAGAGGGTACCTTTGAGAGGGATGATCACTTAGTTTCCCTGTCAAACGGATTCAAGGGAAAATTTCAGGCAGGGTGTCTGCGCACCCTGACAGACGTATACACGTACCAACTATTGTACTTTGCGAATAGGGTTCAGGAAGACGGGTGAAAGATTCATTCTTATTTTTATTTACACCCTGTAGAAAAACTTCAAAGATATACACGGCGCGACCTTAGCGTACTCGCGAATTTGCACGAGGATGAAATATGATTATTTCTAGAATCGAATGTTAGCTACATTAAAATACGTGGTCTTATTCAGTCTCGTGATGAACGTGTAGATAAATACTTGGCTTCGTTCTTAGTTATGTACACGATTAGTTATCATATGTCCTAGAATTCGTATTCGGACACGTAGCATGTACAGTACCTTGTATTCGCATGTTTTTGTTTATTATAAAAGAGTCCGGTTGGTGGGTTCCTGTTTGGAAAAAGAGACAAGGACTCGAAGCAGAAAAAGCAAAAGAAAAACAAGGAACTCGACGAGTCGACCGACAAGAGCGATGTCGAATCGAATCTGTCTGCATCTGAGAAGCGCGCCAAGACGCCAGAAGACAAATCCAAGAGCGAGAAGGAACAGGGTTCACCCAGGTATACGAAACCGTATGACTACGAAGAGACGGAAAAGTCACCCACGAGGAAGCCCTTTACACCACATGGATTCTCTTATGAGGATAGGCCAGCGTCGCCAGGAGTTCACGATCAGCAGTCGCCCTCTGGAGCCAGTAGAAAGGCTACAGGGTTGGCCTTTAATTATGCACCGGGGGAAGAAAAGAAACTCGTGGAATCTGCGGAGAAACGTAAAACCAAGGACTCCGATGTTCCTAAGGCTCCAGCTGGTTTAAGAACGCCAGGTCTTAACTACGTCGAATCGGCTGGACTTAAGGAACAGCAAAAATCTAAGCCTGAGCCCGATGCCAAACAAGCAACATCCGCTTTCATAGCTGGTGAACTTCAAAATCTGGATGCTTCAAGCCGCGGAGGTGTGCTCCTACCAGGAACAACTGAATCCAAGCCTGAATATCATGTGCTACCATTACCGGCTGGGTCCAAGGTAATCGGAGGAATAATTTACACAAAGGAAGGTAAACCGTTGGACCAGAGTACTCTTGGTCCTGAAGGAAGTAGAATTATCGACGGAAAAGTCTGTGGAAAGGATGGAAATCCTATTAAGAAATTTGACTTTGGTCCTCATGGTACCCATGTAGTAAATGGTATAGTTACTGGAAAGGATGGCAAGAGCTTATATCAGGAAACTCTTGGTACCGATGGTAACAGCATCAAAAATGGTATCATTTATGGTCCGAATGGACAAGTACTGAACAAAAGAGCCCTGGGTCCGGATCATACTCTAGTGAAGGATGGTAAGGTTGTTTCCAAAAATGGTAAACCTTTCCATCTTGATAAGCTTGGAGCAGATGGTACATACATCAAAGAGGGACTTGTGTTTGCTCATGATGGTAAACCTCTGACACAGGGATCTTTTGGAACCGATGGAGACTACATCGTGGGAGGTATGGTTTGTAACAGTGACGGTAAGCCACTTAACCAAATTGCAGTACTTCCTGACACGACTTACGTATGTGATGGTTTGATTCATGGACGGGATGGAAAACCTTTAGCGAGCGGTGACCTGGGTCACGAAGGAAATTTCGTCACGGAAGGCAAGGTATACTCCAAGGATGGGAAGCCAGTCAAGAGCGAATCTTTTAGCTCGGATGGTTCTACGATTAAGGATGGTATTGTCTATGGTAAAGACGGTAAATTCCTTAATCAAGGATCCTTACTTCCTAATGGTGCTCATCTAAAGGATGGTAAAGTTGTCGGGAAGGACGGGAAAGTAATAAAACATGCCTTCTACAAACCGGATGGCAGTTTTGTCAAAGACGGTATTATTCATGGAAGGGATGGCAGACCTCTTAGTCAGATTCCGCTGATTGCTGATGGAGCTTTTGTTAAGGAGGGAATATTTTATGATAAGAATGGTAAACAACATAAACAGAGTCTCTTCAAACCGGATAATATTGTTATTAAAGATGGCGTTGTACATGACTTTGAGGGAGTACCTCTGTCTCATGGATTCCTAGGACCAGATGGTCTTACCATCAAGGATGGTGTTGTCCTTGGTAAAGATGGTAAACCGGCCAAACAAGAATCTTTCGGCGCAAACGGAAATTACATAAAGAAAGGAGTGATCTATGCAAAGAACGGTAAACCACTGAACCAGGATTCTTTGGTTCCTGAAGGTGCAAGTATCAAAGACGGTAAAGTGTACAATAAGGATGGTAAACTGATGAAGGCAGCCTTTTATAAACCAGACGGTAGCTACATTAAAGATGGATATATTTATGGAAAGGATGGCAAACCATTGAACTTGAGTTCTGCCTTGCCTGCGGACAGTTACATAACTAATGGTATAATATTCGACCACAATGGAAAGCCTCTGGATAAGGATACTTTTGGCTCCGATGGCTCTTATGTGGCAGCTGGATTAATTTATGGAAAGGATGGAAAGATTGTTGCGGAAGGAGCATTTGGTCCTGATGGTAACAAGATCAAGGATGGTCTCATCATTAGTCGAGATGGTAAACCTTTGACTCAGGATGACAAGGGTCCTGATAATCTAGCTATCAAAGAAGGTAAAATCGTTGATGCCCAAGGAAAACCCAAGAATCAAGGCTCACTGGTACCTGATGGTTGCTACATTCAAGATGGAATAGTTTACGATCAGAACGAACAGCCTCTGAAGCAAGGAGCTTTTAGACCTGATGGCACTTATATAAGAGACGGTCTTATTTACGGCTGGGGCGGTCAGCTCATGAACACTGGAACAGAATTGCCAAGTGGGTGTTACGTGGAGGAAGGTAGACTCTATGGTAAGGATGGACAACCATTGAATCACAGCTCATTCGGTAGCGAAGGAGGTTTCATTCAGAATGGATTCATTTATGGGAAAGACATGAAGCCTCTGCAACGTGGAACTTTTGGTACTGATGGTAGCTACATTCAAGATGGTACGATATATGCTCCTGATGGTAAACCATTGAATAAGAAACAATCCATCATCACTGTTAGTCTTGTTCGGTATGGTTTGATCTATGGAAAGGATGGTAGACCATTAAAGGCTGGTACTTTCGACGCTGAAGGTAGTGTCGTGAAGAATGGTAGGATTCATGACCGCAGTGGGCAACCTTTGAACCAAAACATTTACGGATCTGATGGTAATTTCATAAAGGATGGCTTGATTTATGCACGCAATGGTAAACCACTTCAGAAGGGACCACTTCCTGCGGAAACTAGTTTCATCAAGAATGGAAAGGTTTTCGAATCTAATGGACAACCTTTGACCCAGGAAGCATTTGGTCCAGAGGGTCTGAGAATCGTACAGGGTATTGTTGTGGATAAGGCTGGCAAACCTTTGAAGCAGGCAAACTTTGACACCGAAGGCAATGTGGTTAAGGATGGAATTATTTACAATGCTGCAGGGAAACCATTGGATAAGAAATATACTGTCTATACAATTACGCTCGTTAGAAAAGGCTTGGTCTGTGATAAGAATGGTAAACCAGTGACAAATGCTCCATTCGGTGAAGATGGAAGTTTCGTCAAGGATGGAAGGATCTATGATAGAGCTGGAAAACCGTTGAATCAAGAAATATTTGGAGAGGATGGTGGTTTCATCAAGGATGGTCTTGTTTATGACAGCACGGGCCGTCCTCTGGATCAGGAACCCATTTCTGATGAAACATCTTACATTGAGGATGGCAAGATCTTTGGACCTAATCGTCTGCTTCTGAATCAGGATAGATATGGACCAGAGGGTTACAGGGTCGTAGATGGTATTGTCGTGGACAAATCCGGTCAGCCTCTGAAGCAGGGAAGCTTTGGATCAGATGCCTTCATCAAGGATGGTAGAGTTTATGGAAGTGACGGAAAACCACTCTTCAAGAAATTCACTGTCATCACGATAACTATGGTTAAGGAAGGTTTAGTTTGCGACAAGAATGGAAAACCTCTGACCGAGGGACCATTTGGCACTGATGGTAGTTTCGTTAAGGATGGTAAAATCTATGACAAGACAGGGAAACCACTGAATCAACCATCCTTTGGTACCGATGGTAGTTTCATTAAAAATGGTATTATCTGTGCAAGAGATGGTAAACCTTTGGAGCAGGGGACTAGCACTCAAGAGGAGGATCAAAATACTTACATAGATGATGGTAAGATCTACGACATTACTGGACAACCCTTAACCACTGAGTCTTATGGTCCTCAAGGATACAAGGTGGTAGCTGGTGTCGTTTATGGACGTGATGGAAAACCACTGAAGTCAGGACAATTCGGTTCAGAAGGTAGTTATGTCAAAGATGGAAAGGTCCTTGGCAAGGATGGAAAACCTTTGACCAAAGAGTCCCGACTGGTCACTATAACATTTGTGAAATACGGTTTAGTCTGCGATAAGGATGGTAAACCATTAATTGATAAACCATTCGGTGATGATGGCAGCTATGTCAAGGAAGGCAAAATATTTGGACCTGACAATAAACCTCTAAATCTGGAATCATTCGGATCTGACGGCTCTTACATAAAGGAAGGAGTAATCTGTAGTAAATATGGTAAACCACTAGATCAGGGTCACATGGGTCCCGATGGTACTTATGTAGAGAATGGCAAAGTATATGGAGTCGACGGGAAACCACTTACTCAAAATCCATTTGGTCCTGAAGGATGTCAAGTTGTTTCTGGAATTATTTACGGCAAGAATGGTAAACCCTTAAATGAGACCAACTTTGACACTGATGGTAGTCATGTCAAAGATGGTTTAATTTACTCCAAGGATGGAAAACCAGCCAACAAAGACAGTCTCTCTCATATCTACAAAATAGTCTACATCACAAAACACATTGTAGTTAAACCTGGTGAAGATATCAGCAACTTAGTAACCGAAGCAAAACAAGGATTCTACGATGACCCAAGATACAGAAATATCACATCGATGAGTTCCTTCGGTAAGGATTCCAAATCTTATCCAGTATCTGGTGGTGCTTATGAGAGTGGCTCTGGTGAAGACAGTGATGACGACCTGGAACAGTATGGCGAAGGCAAAGGAGATATCATGAAGGAACTCAGAGGTGCACCTAAGATAAATATTCCAAAATTGAAAAAAGCCACAGTACCAGTCACCACACCAACAATAGTGAAAACCACTACGAAGCAATCTGTTGTCAAGGATCAGGAGGGAGTCACCCAGAATATCGAAGAAAAAGTTGAGGACCTGACACCAGGAGGCACAGGAAACATAACAGTTTCTACTCAAGTGAATAAGGTGAAAAGCTTTGAAAACAAAAATCAAACATCCAATCACCAATGCGATACTTACCTGTTGAGAACTTTACCTGAGGAACTTGAAAGTCTGACTTTATGTTTAACGTCTTTTTTTATTATTCAAACAACTTTCTGAGATTTCACGCAAAGTTCTCAAAGTATAGCAGCATGAATCTTTATAAAAAAAAAATGCACCAATTAACATCAAGATCTGAAAAAGGGATTTGTGGCTGGGAAGATCGTTCGTCGGTGTGCTTTGGGAATATTGGTATTGCTGTGGACATTTTACATATTTGCGTTAATTCGTTAAGGCGAAATTGCTGTTAAGTACAAAAAGAAAACCGATATTCTTTTTCTCTATCTCTCTCACCTGTGCATTTACTGGGTCATAATGAGCCACCGCCCATTAAATTAAAACTTCATTAATTATCAATTTCATCAGTCGTTATTGTTTTAGGTTTTTCTTTTGTACTTCTTGGTAGTTTGCATTTGCAAGACTTTTAACAATGATTGCATCCTTGCATGACTTGCATGTTAATGACGCTACTTAGAATAATATAATGAGCAATAGTAAAATGCTTGCCAATTTCGCATAACATTGAAATGGGTGAGTTTTTCCTTTCTCATACAGCTTTTAGTTTAAAACATAGGCTACATAACTAGTTTTACATGAAATTGTTAAAAATTAATATTAACAACATCTCCAACATAACTCTTCTGTACTAACACTCATAACATTTTAGTATAGTTTTGCATTTAACAACAGCTTCACATTCTACTATCTGATATACTGCAACCATTGCATTGAATGTTGGAAAACAAACCGACATCTAAATGATCAATACTTTGCACTCTTTATTAAAACAGCAAAATTGGTTTGTTTTATAACATATATCAATATTTTCATGACACATTAGTTACGCAGTAGTTGTATTTAGGCAGAGGCACCTGATGACGGTAGAGCTCCATACATGACAGCAACCGCTGTAACAACACGTACAGCGACGATGCACGAGGATCTGGAAAAGAATCAGAAGACAAGTCAGGTTTGTAATTTTAATTATCATTCAAATATGCTCTTACGTTTGCATACCCAATATTGTATATGAAAAGTAAAAATGAATAAGGTAGAAAAAATAATCACAGCAACTATATTCCAAATTGTTGCTAATACCTTCCGTGGTCATTAACTTTATATAAGGACTATTACATGTTCCTTTTGAAAAACGTTTCTTTGTATAACAAGCCAGAAATATTGTTTTGCTTTAGTTGTTCAACAGCTTGTTACTATTGTTTTTTTTTTTAATGTCAGGTCGAAGAGAAAACAGTAGCCCACACGACTGCTACCAGTGCTACCAGGCAAGAGCAACGAGTCGTTACCCAGGAAGTGCGAACAACCAGTCATGTATTGTCCGGAGAACAGGTAACGTTTGGGTCAATGAAAAAAATGATTGCAAAATTAAAAAGGAACCATAAAATGGCTACACTGACCGTAGCATGGCTATTAAACATGGTGAACATTTACTAAGCATCTGTGTACATTGCTCTAGCTGTATATTATCTTAACTGTTTTAATTTTATTTTATCATGAGGTTCATGTCGTTATCATACAAAATTTAATTTCTGACACGTCCATTTACGTTTCATTTAAGTTAATATCCTTGGTAATTTGTACAAACGACTAAATTATTTGGTTTATGGTATTACTTTTTTTTTTTTTATATATAATCATCAACGTCGAGCTCGTATTATCAGCGTTGGCTTTTTTTGGTTTACCCATCGGCCACGTCATTACGTTAACTTGATTTAATTTTTTATTTCGTAATTAATTTCGACTGCTTGGCCTAACACATTGCATGGCGTAGCTGGTCTCGAGACGACTCAGTACCTCCAGTTCGAGCAGTGGTGATTCAGGCACTCCCATCGATCTTGACGACGATCAACAGGCTTTCTACAATCAGTACTATCAGGTAATTCATACATCATTTCGCTAATTGAAGCGATTCACTCGTCGACCTTGCTCGCAACGGGGAACCTCCTCTTCTTCTGTTCTTTTTCGATGTAGAGAAAGCTGTCACAGAGGTAATTGAATGCTTGACAAGGAACACGTTTTAATCCTTGTAAATTTTCTTCTTATCTGTTTGCATCTTCTACGTTTTCTATGATCGTTATTGAATATTTGCATCACTTCTAATCACTGGAACGACTGTCTCAATTATACCACTTTATGCTGTATACTGTCATACATTACACTTTGATACATTAATTTTTTAAGGATAACTGAAAATATTCTGTGTGTATATACCTTTATTTTATATTCTTGGTGACTCTTAGACCTACTATGGTGCTGGTTCTGTTGGAATGTATCTCTACAATATGTATTCTTACAGTGTCTTATAATTGAAGAGTTTGACATTCAAATCATTTAAAGTATTTTCAATGGCAATTGTGCATTTGCATGTTAATTTCATTATCAATTAAACATCCAGGTAAAATTGACAACGAAACATCACACAGTTACGACTCAAGAAAAACACTCAAATATACTTTTTTATTTCAAATCAAAAGGGGAATGACATAATTTTGGTTCTCGCAAGAAACTTGACCAATGACGTCTACGAAATTTCTGCTGTTCACCTGGAATCAAGCTGTGTCCCCTTCAATGTTCTTCAATAATATTTCCGGCCTTTAAAACTAATTATCTTTACTTTTCTAAACAGGGAGATCCAGCAGGTATCGTGGCAACGGAGTCTCACGTTTACACGGGCGACACCGACAATAACGTGACAACAACAACCACAGTACCATTGGTAGCAACCGAGACCAGAAAAGTCGCCCTAGAGAGCGAAGACGGCAATTACAGTGCCAGCGGGGAAATAGTCAGCTCCCAGACCATATCGAGCAAAACTCGTACCGTCGAAACGATTACGGTAAGTCGTACCAGTCGTTAAAAACCAGAATGCCTTTGATCAAAGTAAATTATGTGTAACTGAATTCCTCATCCTTTTCCATAGTACAAAACGGAACGTGATGGAGTAGTGGAGACGCGCGTGGAGCAGAAAATAACGATACAATCGGACGGCGATCCCATCGATCATGACAAAGCACTGGCGGACGCCATTCAGGAAGCCACCGATATGAATCCAGACATGACAGTGGAGAAGATCGAGATACAGCAGCAAACGGCGCAGTAATCATTATGAATTATTTCAATGCGTTAACGAAAGAAAGATAATCGAGAGCGCCATTACGTGAATTGGCAGGGCACCTCGTCCTTGAGTGATTTATTAAAAGGGACTGAAAAGGAAGAAGTGAAATTAAAGATCTTACGACGAACGACATCCTTTCGTCATTTTACGCATTTAAACGTACATTCGAAATCCTCGCCTTTTCGAAACGCACGTACGAGAACCAATCAGACTGACGAACGTTGTTTTGTCAACGATCTACAAAAAAGTGTTCGGCAAAGCTGCTCATTGTAGCTTTTTCAAAATTCTGGATATTAATAACGACCTGATAAACACGATGTCGTTAATTGAACGTATAAGTACGTAGCTTCAAGATTCGGTTGTGAACCGACCTTAACTATGTAGCTTTTACCGTGAAGTTCTTAAAATAAGCGTGATATACGTCGTATCGTAAAACTGTCTAAACGTGTTCATATTTGAAATATTGAAAATGAGTATAATATATATACATAAACATAGACGCAGAGACAAAAATACACACCATAAATTATTATATTGTATACATGCGTATGAAATATACGTTTATTAGATCAAAGTACGCTGGACAGGGTGCCCTGCCTAAGTATTTTTTTCCATTTAATGAATAATCAAAAGATTTGGCTGGTAGGGTCAGGGGTCATTGACTAACCTTCAATCCGTTCTTCAGCCCGGAACATTCGGCTAGGTCGTTTCAAATTGAAATGATCTTTATCAACAAAGTATATTACGAGACTGCGGACTCAGGTCTAGTTCTTCTTCACAGATTCTTTAAATTGCTTTTATCGAGTAACAGAAGACGAGCTCTCGTCACTTTGCATTGATTCTATTCTTGAGAAATTTTTATTTAACTGTGTCAACAAGCTACTTTAAACCCCACTTTGAAACACATTTACAAAGCTCTTGACGTACTCCCAGACAACACCGCGCGTAATGCTCGGTAATAAATCTGTTTTAAAGGCACGTCTTCTTTGGAGATGATGCGTCTTGTATGCTTTTCAAGATCGAAATTGATGGGAAGGAATAAATGTAATGGGGAATTTGCGTACAACATCTGGGTGCGACGTTCGTGCATTGCGATACATATTAGCTTTGTCGCGATATTGTCTGTATAGTACGACAACTGATATGGTAGATATTTTGACTTTTTAAAACAGATATTATATAACGATTAATTAATATTCGAGAAAAGTCAGAGGTGTCTGGATATAAAATATTAATATATTATTATATCTATATATTGCTAGGCAACTTGGCCTTTTGCGATTGTCGAGCTTTCCTTAGAATCCCTCGCGCTCGGTCGCTGAAAATTGGAGAGAAAATGAAAGGAAAAAAAATTTAACTTGTATCTTGAGGAAAGTTTCTTTTGACCGAAAACAAAATACCAAGGAACAATTAAATTTTATCTTACATCGCGACGACGGCTTTCCGGAACGCTCGTAGATTCCGCTTGTCCAAGTGGTACATTAATTATAATAATTAATAATAATAGATTAATAAATTATACATAACATGCCAAGTGCAATGAATGCATTGGTCAGCGTATATGTCTAAATTTAGCTGTAGCTTGTGTAGTCTTAGGTAATACGAATTGCGATTTAGTAACGGAATTCTTGTTGATTTTAGCGTTTTAACTTTTCGAGTTTGTTTCTAACGAGTACAGATCAGTCGGTTATTGTTTTTTGAAAATATACAAGAAACAACACAATGGTCCGTAATGAAAGCTCGTTGAAACAGAAGAAAATTGTCTGTGAAATTTCTACAAAACCGTTTCACGAGTTTTTTCAATTTATTTCATTCTTACCTGAGATTTATAATCTTTCATTGGACACAATGTGACTGCCGGCTGCTTCATACTCGTTGGTAATAGATGCATTTGTTTATTTTTCTACTTTTACACAGTGATAAGTGCAGGCATCTATTCTAGGTTTATTGTCCTCGCTGTATTTTTTTTTTTAAATTAAAAACAATATGCGTGCTTTTCTGTTCCGTCTCCTATAATCGGATCAGTCCGGTGCGAGCTTCGTTGATGCTTGCCTGAAATAAAAAAGCCGCCATTAGAGTGTATTCTGGGTAAAGAAGAGGCAACAGTTCCCCGTTTAGTAGAGGAAAAATGTAATTTATTATTATCCCATTTTTTCAACGTGGCCTTTTAGTCTTGCCTAACAGTGAGACCGACTGATTTTCCTCTTGCTACAAGGAGACATTTAAAAGAAAAAATCCTAGACTGTCAACCATCAATTCCAACAGTTAATAAGATAAATCCTTATGAATTTCATAGCTGCTCGCTCTAATGAAGTGTCGCAGCGATACACTTGATGAAATCGAAAGAGATTCTTTTTTAATCGAATGCATCCCTTTCACCTCTTGTACCTTATCTAACATTCCATGCTTTGAGTGACTAACGTTCATGTACCATAAATATATCGTATCGTCGAGTGATTGGCTCGTTTATAAGTCCGTCTTTATTTTAGCTCTGCTTGGAGATAATACAAGAAAGAAAATTAACGTAAAACCGACCTCTGTCGTTGCGCGACAGTGTTGCTCAATAATCAGGGATTAATTATCATTACTGACTTTATGAAACTTCCAAATAGTTTGCCATAGGCCATAGTCAGCACTCCAATTACTATACTATTTGTCTGACAATTCAGCAAGCTTGCTGTCGCGCGCGATGCGTTTTCATGGGAAAAAAAAAAGATCGACCGAGGGATCTTCAAGCGGCGTACAAATATAGCTTGTAAGTTTTTATTTCGATAATTTCGTTGTCCATTATTAATTAATATTAATTATTATTTTAATATCATATACTTAATATATTAGACATCTGTAGCTGAGGAGATATTTTTTTCCTTGTGCAAGACTAATACCTATATTTTATATGAGAATTTCAAAACCCTTTACAGTATTTTCAATTAATTTTGTCTTCTCGTATGTCGAAACTTTAGTTTTTCTTCTACTCTTTTCCTTTCTCCATCAGATAAAACTTTCTACTAACGGATAATTATTTAAGCTCTGAAAATTTATAACGAGTTGATTGATGATTTTGTCAATGTACTGCGAAAGCACCGCCTTGCTGCTTGAAAGCGATATGCAAAAAGCACGTAATGATAATTTTTCATTATCGGGAGCAAATTTTTTGACACACCCGTGCAGCTTACAATTTGCACTTTTAACTTTTCATTCCAAGTTACGTTACGGTCGACAGCCTAATTTTGTGCTTTCGTTTGGCTTTCCAGCACGTAGGCGATGAACGATACATTTGGTTGTAAGACGATCATACCTAGAATAGTTTCGTTAGGTAAAACTGATGATTAATGATAAATGATTTGCTTAAAGTGAAAACGAGCGAATAAATACATACAAGTGAAAATGGCTCATTTGATTTCTACATGTTTTTTGTACATCAGAAAAGAATTATAGAATGATTTTTGTTTTATTACTTTTATTCATAATAGTACAAATTTATATGGGTCTGTTACATGTATATTTTTTTTATTTGATATGTGATTTTATCATTTAAATAGGCGGAAGTGCGATGACTGAGCTTACTGATGGACTATGCAAGCTCTGTTTACTTCTTGAACTAACTTTCCAAAAGGGTCTTGGTTTTATTCGATTTTCTCTTAGTCCTTTTATACCAGAAGCTAGGAAAAACATAATTTTAAGAATTCTTTAAATTTTGAGTAATATACAACTTCTTACCTGACTTCCATGCTGGAAATATTTGAGGGTGAGTCTCACCGGATGCTGTAGTTACTGTTATGGATAATTTTGGATCAGACTGATGAAATATGGCTCTTGAAACGGATCTTTTGAATGCCGGTGGTAAATTAAGAGAATCTGTAATAATTCTTATGTGATTTTAATGGAGAATATTAGTATCGTAAAAATAATAATAAAGTGTACTGGTAATGTCGTCGCTTAATGTCATCTTGGACGGTCTTCTGATCTGTCGCAATAGTTTCTCTGTCTTAAATTTTTTCATGAATTGTCGACAAATTTCACTTATGTCTTTTCCATCTAAATTTACTGTAAATGTTAAAAATTGTTCATAATATAGTTTCCATAAAAACATGTACTTCAGGTAGAATTACGTTTACGTTTGGTTTACCTAAAGATTCACTGTTTGCAATTAGATTTTCTCGATATCTGTAACATTGCGTTACAGGATTTCCTTGAAGGAACAATTCTCTGAGTCTAATTAAGGCATTGACACTTTCTGTCAAATCTTCAATGTCCTGTATAGAATTATTCTTAACTTCGAGTATTTCTAAAAAACGAAAATCATTAATTTGCCGAAGAGAATTCATTTTGTTCCCCGTAACATTCAAAACCTTGAGACAATTCTGCAAATTAAAAATAATATTAACATATACAACAGTCTGATACTTGTCATACTTACAGATAAAGTAGCGACGGTTCTTGGATCAAAACACAATAATTCTCCAGGTGCAATTCTTTGTCTCTCTATATGAAGTTCAATTAAATTTTCTAGGTTTTCTAAACCTTCTACAATGCTAATATTATTGTATCCTAAATAGAGCTTTGTCAGGTTCCTCAGTGTACCAAGATTTTCAATTTTCATAATATTATTATGCTGAAGATACAGGTGCGTCAGATTTACAGCAAAATGAAGATTCTCTATCTTGGATATACAATTATTTTGAAGATATATAACTTTTAGATTCTTGCAGGCAGCGAAGTTACCCTTAAAAGTAAAATAAATTTAATTAAACTATTTAGTCTTTTTATTATACGAAACACTCACGATGGCATTGATGAATTTGTCATTCATGTATAGATGAGTTATTCTTTGTAAATGATGCTTGTCTATTTCTTTTGTTAATGATTTATTCGATTGCGTTTCCGAGCATTTTCTCTCTACGTAAGCCGTTGTTAATTTCACCATATTTAGCCAATTTTATCCGTAATAAATAATAAATATCGAATAAGTTGGATTGTCGACTGCTGTTCATTGATCAAACAGTTCTCGGCATTGGAATATTATTTGGTGCGAAGTTTAGCGGGAAACATGTAAACTACATTAAATGGTGAAACGGTGTTCCAAATGTAGGAAGGTTAGTTTTGTATAGAACGAGTTGTCAAACAAGTCACTAACCTGAGAATCAGCGAATCGATGATTTTTTAATAGTATTAAACAATGGACGTGGATTTATTAAGACCAGGAACCGTGCCTATTTCTCCGGATACTATTTTGTGGTTCGAATTCTTATTGAATCCTTCTCTACTCGAAAAACATCTCTCGAAGCCACTGCCAGGTTAGTTTACTGACTTCCCCAAGGGATTTATTTAATTGTTTTGAACATTTCTTAATATTTTATAACATTTTAAACACGTTATTTTAGATCCATCACCTACAGACTTGATCATAAAATTCATGTCAATTAATTTTGATCAAAAGGAGGAGACCAAAATTATAGATCCCGAAGTTGGAGAAATCAAACCCAATGGACACAGTAAATGGCCTCATAAGACTTTAGCTCTGAAAATTCTTTCTCTAAAGGTTGCTACGTATCTCAAATGGGATTTAGATTTATTACAAAAGAAATTGCCTTTGCCGATGCAATTGACGTTGCTGCAAGACTTGTTTTACATTACCACAGATGTTATTGTCGAAATTCCTGCTGTTCCTGAGTATTCTGTAAATTCAGTATCAGATCAGGTCTTATTTACAATTGTTTTGTACCACAGATGGTATTTAAGAGCTATTATTTATAGAGCTCTACACAATAAACAATGTAAACAACAGTTTATACATATGTAGGTGTAATCATTATCAGATGCAATCTTTCATTTTGTTCAATAAGGATATAATTACATCAAAGTTTTACAAATAATTTCTTATTCCCATTTAGACCAGGAATTCAAGAGTCGACTTTTATACCACCTGGTGTTTCTGACGAAATAATACGGAAATTAGAAGCTCATGTATCAAATGCATTGAATGTTCTTAATGCTGTTTTACAGTCAAATGATTTAAAACCAAAAGTTCTCTCATTTGATACTTTCCAAATGTTAACTGAAGACAGTACAGAAGTTAAGCAAAATTGGGAAAAGATGATACCAATCACCGTTGAAGAATTTAAGTGTCAGGTACTCTCATTAGTAATATTATACATGACGAGTTCTATCATTAATTCATACTTACAAAGCTGTCTCTCTTGTTTTAGATACACTATGATATTGCAGTCTTCCATTTGTTAAGAGAGGAATATCAAACTGCGAAGCATCATATTTGCCAAGCAAGAGATTTATTCCTCACATTAAACAAAACAGAACCGTTATTGTATTGTACAGTAAAAAAGGAATTCTTAGATGGCTGTTGTTTAGCATGTGAAGTACCAATAGAAGAAATTCAACCTAGCCTAACTCAACAATTGCATAGAGCAATTAGAGACCAATATACAGTATGTATAGTCACTACAAACTTTTAATAAGTACTATCTTATAATCAAAGCTTTTTTTTTAGAATATTCTACAGATTTTACAGTCGGACAATATTTCAAGGGAAATTCCTCAAGTGTACAGAGACAATTTGGAACTAGATTTGCAGGGTGGGTTAGCGAACAGAAAAATGGTTGTATCCAGAGATTTACTCCTGCAAATCCAGTGTCTTAATTTAGTTCGCAAAGTAGTAGACAGTGACGTTGTTCTTGGCGATTATCCTAGCGAGATTAAAGCAGCTGGTGCAAAGGGCTTGGATTTACTCTTTTGGGTAAAATACTCCATATTAATTACCTTTCTCAAATTTTAATATGAAATTTTTATACAGGCTCTTAATACTGTTCTGGAAAAAGCGTCACCGACCGATAACAGACGCATCGCTCGTTACCTCTTGCATCTTGTACTTTCCAGTGACATAGATGGTCTCACAAGCAGAATTCTTAATACACCCAACTGTATAGCACTTTTTAATGAAACGGAACGTCATGAAATTGAAATGGAAACTACTTCTGATGACTTGGATATGCCCGACCTGCTTCTGAATAATGATTGGGGTGTTCCGCTTCAGACTTACACACGTAAATATCAAAGTGGATTATTAACGTATAAATTGATTATTTTTTAACTAATGCAATTTGTATTTTTAGAGAATCCTAGGCTCGAAATCTTCGAATTGGAACAACGATTGATACTCTCATACAATCCTCATGAGATTCGTGACATCATAATACAGTTGGCTGAAAAGAATCCGATGAAACCATTATGGCCAGTAAACAGCTGCTGGGAGTTGCCAATACCTTTGCAAAGTGTTGCCATGTCTCTGCCCAGAGGTTTTCTTCAGGATTATTCATACATCTTGCTTGCCAAAAGTCGTGAGATGGTTTCTGTAAAGGATTTTATCGGTGCTAAAGATCTTCTGTGTGCTCTTGAAAAAGAAGTACAGCAACACGTGCAAGTTGGAAACACGTTGCTTTTTAAATTGTGTAAAATGGTTGGCTGGGAAGCACTTCTCGTTGAGATCTGGCATTGCCTTTATGCTTGGCCAGCAACAACTGTCTGTGAGTAGTAATAACACTCCAATTATATATCTTGTACTTAACTCTACTGAATTTATATCCAGGCGATACGCAAGCGTTGGTTGTACAGTGCAAGCAATGTCTTGGAGCTTTACAAGCAACAGATCAAGTAATTCCTCGACAAGAGATCATAGAATATTGCACAGTCTTTATGTTAAATATGGCAGAATGGGATTATTTGACAACACTAGAAAAACGTTGGGCTTATGCTGAATTTGCTGCGGCCATTAGTAGTGTTTGTCAGGAAATTGTAAAATATAAGGGGAGTCGAAAGTTTCCTAGAGAGAGTTGGGATATGGGTACGATTTGATATTTCTTGAAGATAGAGTACTGTCTCAATTGTTATGCAAACTCATATATATTTCGGTGAATAGTTTTAGTTGCTTTTGGTCCAAGCAGAGACCAGCCACAAAAACGTAGCAGTAGTGGCAACAGTTCAGGCAGTAGCAGTGCGTCAAAGGATCTCATCGCTGGTGTTTCAGCTTTACTAAGTAGACTTCGTGAACCTACAGCACTTACAGTAGCAATCTCATTACTGGCTAGGTTACACAATGTCCTGCGTGATGAATCCAGCCTAGAACTTTATGCACAGTATCTTACACTTTGGCCAGTCAGCATACCAAAGTAAGTATCAATGACTAATATAATGTGAATCTGATATTCTATTTTTTAACAGAATCAATATGATTTCTTTCTTAGCTCAAATTCATACAATCACAGAACGATTAGTGAACATTTGTTTCAATTATTGATGCAAGCTCTCAAATATTACCCAAGCAATGTCCCCTGGTTAAGATTAATGGGGGATCTTAACTTTGGTGAGTGCCTTTCACATTATGTATGAGTATCAGAAGCTTCTTTAATTTTCAAAATTTTTTCCCATAGTTTTAGCCTATTATGAAAGCGCAATGAAGTATTATCTAGAGGCTATTATGGTATCCAGTGATTTGTTTAGTCAACCTGTCCCACGAACACAAATTGATGATCTTGTGTACAGAAGAATGATTAAGTGCTGTGCACACTTGCAGTGCTACACACAAGCAGCAGTGCTTTGTCAATTCTTAGAAGAAGTCGATTATTCGTTAGCTTTTAAAATGGCTGCTAGTGATCAAAAAAGCTGTGCACCAGCCGATGCAATGGATGCATATTATCACTGTGTCTGGGACACGACCATCCTCGAATATCTAATTCATTTGCATACTAAACGGGGCGAGCATCACAGAAAGCAGCTCGCGGTAATAATTTTAATAAAACAATTGCAAGGTAACAGTAATACAATGGGGAATTGGAAATTGCAAAATACATTTTTTTTTCAGATCAAAGTGATCGGTTTGCTTGAATTAAATTCTAATAATATCGAGAAGATCCAGAAGGAAGCTGCAAATATTCGTAAAGCAAAGTTCCTTAGAGCTTTAGCAAGACAATATGTTTATTAAATTGATTGTGTATAACTGTATATAACACTGTATATATATTGCTACTGATAATTATGATACTTTACAAATAAAATTTTGGATGGCATTATTAGTTTTACGATTTTGTTTTAACAAGTTTAGATTGATATTCAATTTTTTTGTTTAGTCGTTATCTGCAGTTTCATTGTTAGATTTAATTAATATATGACGATCGGACAGTTTCCCGCTTGAATAGTTCTCTGTTTTGTAAACGCGAGGTTTTTTCCGTACGTGTTCAATTTCTGCTGCTGTCTGCCAATCACAGCCACTGTCGACCCTTTGTCTTGATTTACGCTGATTTACGCAGAGCTTGGTCGTTAGGAAAAACGTGGAAACGTTCAACAGGTTTCTAAATTATTTAGATCTTTTATTCACTATTGAATACAGTACAGGTATTTTATTATACATAAAATTAATTAAAAAATGGATTGCTAAGATGTTGCTGTTATATTATTTCAATCGTAGATAATAACCCTTGATCTTGTTATAATCTAGGGCACGTGTTTGGAAAAATGTAGTTTATCTAAGTCAATTTATATATTTTTTATTTTAATAGATGATTACATTTATATGGAATAGTAGGCAGTTTGTTTAAATATGATAAAATGTATATTGTAATTGTGTTTTTTTTCTTTTTAGGCAGGATGGATGAAGATTGGGACAATGATGATTCGTCATATCAATCTGGCTCTGCATCAGCTCCAATAGCTACAGCCTATTATGGAAGAAGTAATCGGGGTGATAATAGTGGAAATAGTAGATATAGCACTTCTAACTCTCGCTATTCATCTAATGGGAACGATAGATCAGAAGGGAGCTGGAGAAATAGGGATCAACGAAATAACAATGACAATCGTCAAGGTGGTCGAAACTATGATGGCAATCAAAATTCTTTCAATGGTCATCAAAGCGACAGAACTCAGGGCCTTGTAATACAAGTTGACACAAGTAAACTGGGTAGAATCATTGGTAAAGGTGGAACTAAAATAAGAGAATTACAAGAGCAGACTGGTGCAAGAATAAATGTGAGCATAGTTAACACAATTTTTTTACTATAAAAATGATATCTAAAGCTTTTGGATTTTATGCTCTTAATTATTTTATATCAAATCATCTATTACAGATTGATAAATCAGGTGGTAATGAAGAAACCAATGTAACCTTGGTTGGTTCTGAAGAAGCACAACAAAGAGCTAAAGAGGAAATTGAAAAAATTCTCAAAGATAGAAATCGAGGACCTGTCACTTCTAAGTCAAATGAACCAGAGACTCCAAAAGCTGATATTGATTTTTCAACATTTGACTGGTCAAAAGCTAATGAACAATATGTAATTAACGTAATATTAATTATTACCATTAATCATCAATAGTGTACAACTATTGTATTTTCCATAGGATGAGTTTCTTAAAGAAAAATGGTCGAAGTTTCCTCCGATCATTAAAAATTTCTACAGAGAAGACCCAAGCGTTACTAATATGACAAAAGAAGAAGTGGCACACTTCCGAAAAACTAACAACAGTATTGAAGTGTATCATGCTTTCAGTGACGAAGGCAAGGAAACTACGACGTGTCAAATTCCAAATCCTGTTCAAACCTTTGAACAAGCTTTTCATGTACGTGTTAATTCTGATACTATATACTGTTTATTCATTTTTATTCATACTATATTATTTTCAAAAGGATTATCCAGACATCCTTGAAGAAATTCGTAAAGTAGGATTTGAAAAACCAAGTCCAATACAATGTCAGGCATGGCCTATATTACTTGGTGGAAAAGATCTTATTGGAATCGCACAAACTGGCACAGGTATGTAATTTAATTCCTTGCATGTACAGTAGAAGGAAATATCGTTCAATTCAATAATAATTGATTTTCAGGTAAAACTTTGGCATTCTTATTGCCAGCATTGATTCATATTGACGGTCAAGAGACACCAAGAGCTGAACGAAATGGACCATCGGTTCTCATAATGGCACCAACACGAGAACTTGCCTTACAAATTGAGAAAGAAGTTAACAAATATTCATACCGTGGAATTAAAGCGTACGTTATTATCTAAAGATAGAATAAGTCCTAATTAATACACTCTTGTTCCATACTGAATGTCATTATGTTGATCACAGGGTATGTGTCTACGGTGGTGGTAATCGTAAAGAACAGATAAACACTTTATCCAAAGGTGTAGAAATAGTAATAGCTACACCCGGTAGACTTAATGATCTTGTACAAATCAAAGCACTGGATGTGACCTCAGTCACATATCTTGTACTAGATGAAGCGGATCGAATGCTGGACATGGGTTTTGAACCACAAATTAGGAAGACTCTATTGGACGTAAGACCCGACAGGCAGACTGTCATGACTAGGTAATATAAAATATTACATAATTAAAACGAATAATAATTCAGTAACTAATTCTGCAAAATTATTGTCAAAAGTGCTACATGGCCTCAAGGTGTTCGAAGGCTTGCGCAGTCCTATATGAAGGATCCTTTGCAAGTTTACGTTGGCTCCTTAGATCTAGCAGCTGTGCACTCAGTGACGCAGACTATCCTTATAATTGATGACGAGGAAAAGACTGATATGGTAATTCTATAGACAGGAAAAAAGTCAATAATCTAAATTCTAACAGCTAACAATTTTGCCTTTAGTTGCACAACTTCTTCCAAAATATGAGCGAGAATGACAAAGTAATTGTATTCTTTGGCAAAAAGACACGCGTTGATGAATTATCCAGTAATTTGGCATTGAGTGGAGTCAATTGTCAAAGTATTCATGGAGGTCGTGACCAGCTCGACAGAGAACAAGCTCTGGAGGATATAAAAACGGGGGTTGTGCGAATTCTTCTCGCGACAGACGTTGCAAGTCGCGGTATCGACATTGAGGACTTAACGTAACTACCGAAAATTAGAAACCTACTTTTTCTATTATTAATTACTTTGCGTTATCAATGATTATCCTTAAACAGGTATGTGTATAATTACGATTTCCCTCGTGATATCGAAGAGTATGTTCATCGCGTGGGTCGAACCGGAAGAGCTGGTAGAACAGGAGAAAGTATAAGCCTTATGACGCGAGGAGATTGGTCACATGCCAGAGAACTTATAGCCATTTTAGAAGAAGCTAGCCAGGTAAGGAATAAGTTTATTAAAATTATTCAGACTGCTGTAACATGACGCTTGTTTGGATAATTCCACAGGAAGTGCCGGAAGAGCTTTATAAAATGGCAGAGAGATATGACAGCTGGAAAGAGAGGAAAGAACGCGAGAAGATGGACGCTGGTGGTTCTTATATTGACCGTGGACGTGGTGGAGGAGGAGGCGGAGGGGACAGAGGTGGTCGAGGAAGACGTGGTGGTGGAGGAGGTGGCGGAGGCCGACAGCGAGGAGGTCGCTGGTAACTAGTTTGGTTACTGTTACTTAATATTTCCAAGTTCCTATATTTCACAAGTATCTCATTCGAATCAGTATTTTTTATCTTAATGATATCTATCTGTTGTTGTTAGAAATGATGTTACCACTAGGTATATTTTTATTGGATTATGAGGGAAAGAAGTAGTCTTTTCGTATTATTTCAACCAAAGAATTTTTTTTTTTTGTACATGCCTAACGTGTATGCGGTGAAGATCTTGAATAAAGTTGACAGAAAAGTATATTTTTGTACATTTGACAGTTACAGTTGATCTGTAAATATTAAAATGGAATAACATGAGTATATGACAGTTTTTTTTTAATGGGGCAGTGCTTCTGCTATCTTTATATACAGTTTTATAAAATTCTATTTAAATACTGTACGTCACCTTGTTTCAAGTATTTATTTCCTGTATTGTGTTGCCATTAATTTTTAGCAATTACTGGACGTTGTCTAATGGGTACTTTGAGAATTTTTACAGAATTTTGAATAAGCTCGCTCCACACATATTTTAATAATAACACACGCATTCTCTTAAACTTCTAAAGAATACAAAGTAATTACCAAAAAAAGTGGATCAAATACTTTTATGGGAACTCCTGCGGTGTTTTTGGCAGTATATAAAAATAGTTTTGAATTATTGTACTATGCTACTATGCTAGGTAGATACTATAAAGTTAATCTAACTTTGCATATACTCACAACTCCTTGGCTCATTGCATTCAATTATTTGAGCTATGAAATCAATTAATCTTATATGTATCGATACTCATTCAATTTTGATAACAAGTATAGCAAATTTTTCTGTTAGAACTCCTGTATAAATTTTTTTAAATAACACTCAAGTTAGCCAAAGAGCTGCCGAGTGTTTCATATAAAATAAATAAACAATAAGTTTAATGATTTAAAAAGTATTATCTGAAACGAAGTATTTAACATAGTGAAGTACAAAGTGTACTTAACTTCTGACCAGGATAAAATAGACATTAAAATATGACCTAGATTTAAAATACATAGAGCATGGTGTGCGTATAAAAAATAATTTAAAAAAGCAGATCTTAATTGTACACTTTGAAGTTTTGAGTTTTGGTATACTTCTCGGCAAAGATTTTTCCACTGGGTGTTGGCATCGAAAAAGCAATATCATCCACCGACATCACATAACCAAAATGAAAGTTTGCTCTGTGAAAACAAAAGGAAGTAAATGAAAATCATTAAATGAATGCAGCACATGCTATAAAGGTAACAAATAAATGCCATAGCTCCTTTTATAATTAATATGAACTCACCTAACAGTATCCACAAGCTTTTTCGCAATGCCTTGTCTACGATGACTCATGGCTGTCCATACAACATTTATTCCACACTTTACAGGAGTAGTTTCTGCACTGCAGCAATCTAATTCTATTAATTCCGGAATCATACGGTGTGCGATTTTTATATACTCAGCTACGAGGACACCCAAGATATTTTTATCCCTCACGTATATGTAAATCTGAAGAACAGGAAGAACGTTGTTATGTCTATCTGTTAATTAATAATAACGCAATATGACTAACTTACCTTCTTATTTTGATAGTCTGTCACTTTGACATCAGTCAATCCAAGATCTCTGTCCACTACTTGAAGAATATCAGAAACCTTTTTCCAACATTGTTTCGAATCATTAGGTTCAATTAGGATTATCCTACTGGATGTAAAAGGATCTTCTGAAACGATACGTTCCTTTTTCCAACCCTGAAATTGATATAATAAATATATATTAAGAATTCTATTGGGGTGACCGGCTTTATAAGTAATTCTAAATTCTCACAGGAAATTTCAAAGTCTTCACGCTATTGTGATAATTCAAATGAGCATTTTCGTCCTCGGCGTCACCAATCTGATATACAATTCCGCATTCAGTACAACAAGTAGCTCCAAATTTCTTTTGTCCAGCATCCAACTGATACTGATTCTCGTCACCACCACCTTTTATAGTCATTTGCCACGCAGCACTTCTCTTTACACCACGATTTCCCTTGGCATTGAAATCTCTAAAATAATAAAATTGTCACTTAAAAATATATAAATTCATAGGATCAAGAATAGCCAAGTACAGATATATCTTACTCGAATAAATTATTTGTTGTATATCCTTTGGTGAATAATGGAAAATATTTCTTTTCCACGTTCTTCACGTCTGATGTACTTTCTTCTGATTTTGCTGCGTTATTATTATTCAAGATATTTTCCAAATCTGTTGGTACAGCAACGTCCTCTATATTCATGATAGATGTCATGTTACTAAGCTCGCTTGCTGGAGACATCATTACGTCCTTACGCATGTTCATTGATTTTGTGGGAGATAAAACATTCTGTGCATCTTCACGTATCAGAGGTTCCATGGTATCGTAATCGTCATCAGCCCAATCATCCTCCAACGTTTTCAATATGTTATTAACAATTTCATGTTCCATAGAAGCGTCGAATTTTGGATCATCAAAAGCGAGATCCGTGGCGTCAAATGTTACATCAGCAAGTTTTGGTTTTTTATTAACATTACCATGATACCGTGACTTTCTCTGATTAAGAGGACTCCTACCATTGGATATTTTTAATTTATTTTTACTATTTACAGTAACCGTAGCGATACGGTTTGGTTCCATGGTCTTCTTGGTTTTGAAGAATTTTTTGTTAGGATTTACTTCTGGAGAAGATACTCTTTCTTTAACTTCCTTTTTTGTATTTTCTGAAGGTTTTGTAAATCTAATGGCCTCCACCGGAGAAGAATTCTCAATGTTATCAATTTCTGGTAGAATCTCTTGCTTTTCCTTTTTGAATGCTTCGGAGCGAGAAACGTGTCGTTTTGGCTTCGGCCTCTTTATACCATGCGAGACTCCAGCATTTATTTCACCAACTTTACGTCGCTTTGCGGAACGTTTGTGTCCTCCAACATGCAGAGACAGACTGCGTTTCTTATTATTGCGTTCAGAATCTCTCCATTCCATACTGAAATGATATTCACGTTTTGGTCTCTCGCAGGAGTTGCTATAAAATGATTTTGTACTTAGTTTAAAGTCTTCCTTTTTCACTTCCTGGAACAGGGACGCTCGCGCTCGAGGAATCGTTGAATTTTCTTCAGATTTTAACAGTTTTATTGCAGCTGTTGACAAAATATCATGTGAATGTCTTTTCAATACATTCTCTTTTCTTTCTGGTGACGAGCCTTCATTGGTATCTAATGGATTAAGTGATTTCCTTCGATGCAGTCTTGGCAGTGGTATATCCTTACTTACAGAACCAAGAGGAGTTATCAGCCTCTGTTCAGGACTATCCTTGTGTGGTGTTTCTGCTACGATATCATCATCATCCTCCGGACCGTATAAACTTTTGTGAGGAGTGTCTGGTATAATGTCATCGGAGAGTAATGTTTGTTGTATGTGGTTTGGAGTAATAGACTGGCTGTTTGATTTCTTGTGTGGGGTAATGGTCCTTGATTTTGGGGATTCTGGAAAGATTTTACGCCGTGGAGAAGAACGGGCCGCACGGGTTAAGCGCTTCAATACAGGGAACAGGCTGTTATTGGATGTGTTTGTGTTGTTTGATGGTAATAAACGATCCCAGGAAGCAATGCTATGTGAGCGTGGTGTAGTTTCTGGTGTTCCTAGAGGAGACTCAAATTGTCTGTCAGATGAACTTGCATCGCTACTAGGACTTTGATCAGTCAAGGCTAGCGGTGATATCGGTCCTAAGTCTGACTCCTCTTCAGATGCTCCACCATCTGGATTAATTTTTTGTACTGCGAATAAGCTTCTCTTGGTGGAACTGCCTGATGGACCAAATAGCCGCTTCTGTACTCTTCGAGGAGTAGATTCTCCGCGACCACTGTCCTCAGAAAGCATTTTAAAATTGTTGAAAATGTCTGGCATTCTGTAAAATAATATTTGGTCATGTTCATGCACAGTTATAAATACTAACATAGTCCTAAAATGCATTCATATCTATATGCAGCAAGTTAATGCACGATAAAAGTCTTTCAAACAAATAAATCCAGATGTGAAAATACAGTTTAAAGAACATCAGGTATGCATGTGTAAACTTGGTAATAACAATACTTCAAAATAATAAAGAATTAAACCATTTCTCCAATTCATCAGAGCTGTAATAACTAAACATTATAAATACCACAAACCCATAACAATTTCTCTAAGTTAAAAGTTACATTCATCACGTCACCCAAACTTAGGATTGTAAATATTAACAAACAGTAATCACATAAAGTACATTTTTCCTCTTACAATACAAAAAATGGATAAAGCATTTAATCACGACTGTTCTAAAAAGTATCACTGTAAATAATTCAAACTCCAAAAAAGTAAATATCGCTTCATAAACTTCTGCAATAAAAGGACTAACCAAAATATCCGTTACAAAGTGTGCAGCGTCCCGCGTGACACGTCGCGATGATGATAAATAAATCGTCGTGTGCCCGAAGACTTTTCTCTATTTTTCACCCGCAAAATCGGAGCGAAACGCAGGAGACTACTTATTGCCAGTTGACAAAAAACGGTTATAGTACTCAACGGCTATTTTCCTCCCAACAGTTTTCGCGCTCCTTCTGGCGCCACTCGGTGCTGTTTAGCTCCAGTAATCCCGCGCACCTGCTCCACATATCACTTCGGTTATTGGTTAGAATATTTACCACCTTAATAGTTATTGGTCCATTCCGTTGGATCCTGTGGAACATCCGGAAGAATTCTGCTTGCATTTATTTCTTATCCAATATTAGCAAAGATGCCGCTAAAACGTAGCGGCGAGTCTGGAAGTAGGAATTTGTGATTATCATCTCCATCGACAATGCGTATCCCGACGTAGTCGAGCTAAATGTGAACACGAATGCGTAGCTTGACGGGCAGAGGGTCTCCGCTACTCAGCGCTGGTTCCCAAAGCAATCCTAAGAACGAGACCGGGAACTATCGAACGCTTCAAGAACTGCTGAAAAAGCCTATTGTAGAAACATTCTTAAGATATTTTTAAGAAAGTGCGGTGCCAACTTGACACCCGTGTAGCA